GAGGCCCCATTAGCTAAAGTGGTGCTTCAGGTTAAGAACAGTTTCAGGTTAAGAACGGACCTCTGGAACGAATTAAGTACTTAACCCGAGGTACCACTGTATCACAAGCTAAACATCACAATATACCGATAAATCACGATGTCTGAAATAAGGATGGAGCTATGTAGAGGTACTGGCTGGCCTCACCGTTCTCCCCACACTGATTTTTGCACAACACACACATTTTTTTATATATATTGCCGGGTCAAAAATGATGGAACGGGTATCACGATATGGACTTCAAACCGGTTTTGGACAACATACGGATACATCGTCCTGTCCTACAGCCCCTCCAACCCGACATTTTGTCCCCAGTGGTCAGCTAGATGTCTAGAAAAAGCCCACAAACAACCTCAGCAGGACAGCAACTCTCCCCACTTGTGAGCCCCAGAAACTGATGTCCACAGTGGGGTAAGAACATAGACACTGTGGCGAGAAGCCACAGAGAGTCTTCTCCACGTCCTTCTTAAAGCCATCTCACTTGGTTTCCATAACTACATCTGGCTGTGGACGAATGTCATAATTCTACTCTGCAATGTGGCGGCAATGCGCTTCCTTCTGTCTGTCCAGAATCTCACAACCATCCCAGCTTCGCTGACTGCCTTCCTTCCCTGGGAGTTGGAGAAAAACTCCACTTTTCTCTGCATCGGGCAAAATTGTGTACAAACAGCTCTCACCGCCACGCACAGTTGCATACACTTCTACCACAATTCCCTCTTTTCTTAGCTGCAAAAGCCTCGGGTGTTTCAGACGCTGCTCAGAGGGAGAAGATGCTTGCCTTTTTCTGCACCTTTCCCAGGTCTACAAGGGCGAAACGTTTTTGTGTGCAACTTGTAGTTTCCTTGCCCTCTCTGTTTCCTGTGTTTTCTTCGCTCCCAGCCCTGCGCTCCTTCCTCTGTGGCTCACACCGCTCATCCCAAATCGGTCTCCCCTTTCTCTCCGCAAACTGCTACCATTTCCCCAGCTTAGTTCCCACTGTTCCACAAGATTAGCCAAATCTCTCGCACCTCTGCGCACCTCTCCAAACAGTAAGTATCGCAAGGTCCTATCCTGGTGAAAGAACGCCAGCCTGAATTGAAAGAAAGTTTTTTAAGCATTCTAATATGAATCAAACATGCTCTCAGGGATACCGTATATGCCTTGAATACCTAGCCTCAAGATATGGAGAGTCCTGCAGGTTTTTTTGTGGGAGGATAAAATAAGATTTCCCTTCAAACAGCGAAGTACGCAGCAGTTTTTCTCTCTCCACATTTCCACAATTAAATATATATATTTATGGGTAATTAATCCAGATCTCCTTTCTGATGATGGCTGGAGAAATTTTGATGGCACTCGGTGCAATTTTTTTATCATTTAAAACATCATACGCTCTTTTACACCTTCTGCACTAATTTATAAGTCACACACCAGGAAGAATTTTGCTAAGTTACCAATGCCGTCCTGTACGTGTCTGCTTAAAAATAAACCCTGTTGTGCACAATGAGACCTAGTACCGTGTTAAATGTGCATAGGACCTAGAAAGGTTTCCGATGAAAGAGGCTGGAGATTAAAGGTCCGCACCATCAATAGCGTGATGAGTTGGTGGGTGCTGAGCACCCTAAATTCCTGGGTCTAGAAGGTGTTAGAATTTTATTAAGGCTTCGGGTGTTAAAACTGTATTAAGCTGTGTACTGTACACTTCTAAATCCTCTGGAATCAGCTTGTGTTTAAAGCTAATTAAGCCAGTGTAAGACGATAGCCTTCGGTAATGTGCCATTAGCACAACAGAGGATCAAAGGAATTATGGCCAATGCGTGGGGCCAACAGCTTACAGTAGCAATGTCAGCTAGAAGCTTAGAGAGTTTAGGAGCGATGTAACACAGAGGTAAGGGATGTGGGTGACGCTGTGGGTTAAACCACAGAGCCTAGGACTTGCCGATCAGAAGGTCAGCGGTTCTAATCCCCGCGATGGGGTGAGCGCCCATTGCTCGGTCCCTGCTCCTGCCAACCTAGCAGTTCGAAAGCACGTCAAAGTGCAAGTAGATAAATAGGTACCACTTCGGCGGGAAGGGAAACGGCATTTCCGTGCACTGCTCTGGTTTGCCAGAAGCGGCTTAGTCATGCTGGCCACATGACCCGGAAGCTGTACGCTGGCTCCCTCGGCCAGTAAAGCGAGATGAGCGCCGCAACCCCAGAGTCAGTCACGACTGGACCTAATGGTCAGGGGTTCCTTTACCCTTTACCTTTAACGCAGAGGTAAAGTAACAAGCTGCAGGAAAAAGTCAGAAAGCACAAGGGCTGGTGCCTGTCTGAATCCAGGGCTGTGTCTATGGGAGAACCAAGACTCCGCTGTGCAGCCTTCCATCGTAGGCTCAGGGTGCATATGTGTGTAAATAAACCACGTATCAAAAAGACACCACAAACTCCACTGTGCCCCATTTCCAAAAGGAAACACGCGTCCTGAGTAAGTTCACCTGGAACTCCTGACATCCCAAACTGCTCAGAGATTAGGGTAGCAGGCAACAATATGTTCTAGCTGCATGTGTGAATGTATATATTTAGACACACATGCTAGTCAAAGTCTGAGATTTAGTGAATGCTGACAAAGGTTGTCAGCGCCTACAAAAAATGCATTGCAAAGAAGGAGGGCATACTGTGAAGCGAGGATTTCAAACACCAGAAAGATAAAGCCCCAGAGGCTATGGGATCTCTTTTCTCAGAAAAAGGTGGGCACAGCTTTCTCTCGGGAAAGTTTCAGGTGAGAGGTAAGGCCATCATTTTTTTTCAGAGAGCTGAAAGTGACCATCTTTTTTAAAAAATTATTTGTTGGGTTTCTAGGTTGCTCCCTGGCCCTTCACCCAAAGGTGCTTGCAAAACATCTCCTGCGATATAAAATAAGCCATCATTAAAACCAGCAATTTGCAGAGCATTTTCCTAGCGGTATAAAGGTTTTCTCAGAACAAAAGCCTTCTTCAAAATGGATCGTTTGGGGCTAACCTTCCGGAGGTGCCCAAATGTGTTAACTTTTGCTGGGCAAGGAAGTTCTAAATGTATGGATGTAACCAAGCATTACTGCCCCGGAATATATGCAGAGACATCATTGCCCCAAACATACAGAGCTCCCGCTGCCTGCAATTATAAACACATTTAATTTGCCTGTAAATTCTGGAGCAAACTGGTATTTAAAATACAGTCCCCTACAATAACTGCCTGTCAGAGGTAACATCAGGATGAGCATGCTAAGACTATGGGCAACAATTCTTCTCCCCTAAGATCTTCAAATATACCTTTTATATATATATAAAATCCCATTGCCTCTTTTCAGACACAGGTCTAGGATGTCCTGCTTAGGGAGACGAGATCAAATGAAGAAAACCCAGAAGCAGTGATTTCTATCCCTGTGACCGTACGGGTCAGAAGGATTCTGGAGCAGAGCTTGAGTTTAACACCAGGGAGAAGATGCTTCTTTGCAAAATAGTACCCAGGTGTGTTTCCCCCCACTTCCACCTTTAACAGTATAGTGCTACAGGGGTACATTGCAGTATCTATATTTGATGAGTGGTAATGACATTCTCACTGCTTAGCAGGTTGATACCAGGGGATAACCTACTGGTGGCTTTGCGATACGGGCTAGATTTCTATCGTGTGCTGTTAAGCACTTGGTGAATTTTTTCAGCTGTAGCAGAATTCTTACAACCCTCCTGCTTCCTCCTCCAGCTTTCAGATCCGGTGCAGATGCGTGGCAGAAATCCCACCAACCTGGGAAAGCAGATGAGCAACATATCCACTGCCTGAGGTCTTTTTTGAACAAGAGATACTACGGATCAAACCCGTTTGCAGAGCGTGTTCTCTACCGCTGAACTACGGCCTGTCTGCAACCTTTCAAGGTGGTTTTGCTCTTGCAACCTGATCCTATTTAGCATGTTCCGTTGGATCCAGCGGGACTTATTTTCTGTACAAATCCTACCCTATACGTGGTTACTCAGGACTAAGCCCCATGGTGTTCTGGGAGATTTACTCCCCAAGAAATGACTTTCAGGCTGCAGGCTGAGTACCAGGTCTCCCATCTGCAAAACGAACCAGCCTTGCAGGGTGGTTGTGAAGACCGGCCATAATGTGCTTTTTAAAAAATGTAAAATTATTGAGAAGATCAAAACCCTTTGGCTGTCAGACACGGGAACAGCAAAATACACATTTGACACATATTCGCGATAGACTTTTGTTCTGGACAGCAAACAGATCCTTAAAGTCTTTCGAAATGTACCATGAATGGCAAGGCCAGCAAATCCCGCAAGCATTTCTCCATCTTTCCAAAAGTTTAGTGAACTTTAAAGGGGCAGTTGGTGGTTCTCAGCAGAAGGCAAGGATGGAGCCCAGAAAGTCAAGTTTCTACCCCCAGATTCAGTTGCCGCTACCATTGCAACTTTCAAAACTGAAAAGCGAAATAAGCCTCCTTTTCCATCTCTATGAAAGTTGCTGCTGTCAATTGCGTCTAGGGTAGGAAACACGAAACATTTACAGCTGGTGTCTCCTGTCGGAACAGCTTCAGCTATGCACAGACTTTCAAGTGACACCGGACAGAAGGAAAGAGTTGCAAAAATGCAGGTATGGAGAGCCAAAGGTGTCCTGTTTGATAGCAGCTTACTCACAAAGGTTGTTTTATTATTATTACTTTAAAAGGGATGGTGCTGTATATGGAAGCTGTTTGGGAGGAAAGAACGGTTCTGTTATTTCACAGTGGAAACCACCGACGCCAAGCAATTCAGACACGCTTGTAAATAGCAACCAACAAAAATATGCATTTAGCAGAGTTTGGGTTTTTTTTCGTTGTTTAAAGGCAGGACAAAGTTGTTTTTTTTACACAGCTCACCTCGTTAGTCAGAAAGGAAATTGCTCCTGTCGTTGGAAACAATTGCTCAAAAAGGGAGCCTGCCAAAAGAGGAAGAAAACATAGAAAGAAACCTTAAACCTGTGTGACTTACCAGCCCGAAGACGGAACTAAGCACCGTGCAGCATATGACCAGACCCAAGCTGTGGTACATCAGATAGGATCCCATAGCCAAACGGAGACTGTCTGCAACATCCAAGAAGTCTCCAGCAGGCTGGACTGTCCGGTAATCCTGTCGCTGTGTTCCTTGAGTTACTGGCAGGCCCCAGTTTGTTGATGGGGGTTTAGGGGTTCAGGGGGGAAACGTGGGGCGAGGTGGCAGAGTTAGCCCCAAAGGCAGGAGGCGAGGAAGAACAGTTCTTTGCCTCGCTTTCTCATGACTGAAGAGTTTCAAAGGGGTCGGAAGAGGCGAAGCGAGGAGCAGTGCATGGAACGGGGGGTGCTGAGCGCCCCAAGAAGACACAGCCTCAGTCCCTGGTGGCAGGGCCTTCTGCCTGAACGCATCTGTCCCCTGGCTGACAAATCACATCCATATGTCAAAACTGCTATTCCGTTTCCCTTTTCTCCCCCCCCCTTCAAGAGGCAGTGGGAAGTTCAAACCATTTCTTTGTCAAACACAAACACACTCTCTCAGAAGGGGCGGGGGGAAAGGGGTGGAGGGGAGGGGTTGGGGGAGTTGTAAAGTGGGGTGGGGGTGGAGAGGAGGAGGGAAAGAGCTTGAAACCACTAGGTTTATTTTTAGCAGCAGTGATTTTGTCGAGCAGGTCTCTAAAGTCTGTTAAATAGAGGGGGGGGGGAATCTCTTCTGGAGTTTTTGCAGAAAACAAGCACAAAAAGTAAGCTCGGTTTCCGTAAGGGAGCCTGAAATCTTTTGCTTTTCCCGCTCCCAGTTCAGAATTACGTGCTGTTTCCAAAAGCAAACAAGCCCGGGTCGCTTTGTGGAGGAACAGCTCCGATGCGCCTCGCCTGGCTCTCGAGTCTCTTAATCATAAATACCTTCGTGCTTTCTCCTTCTCCATCTCCTCTCTTTACTTTGCAGAGCTTCCAAAATTATAAAAAAAAGGGGGGGAGCCCCGCCGCCGATTGAATGAAGCGTGGAAACGTGGAGTAGGCTGAAGGGTTTCCTTTTAAAAGGCGCCTGGCGGTCTTGCAGCTTTTTTCCCCTTTCCTTTTTCTGGGCAGTAGAAAAGAAGGGGGGCAGAAATCCCTCCAGACCTTCTCTCTGCCCCGCGATCCACAAACCTGCAAGAACTCCGAACCGGTTCCTCCGGCGTCTCTCAGCAGCGCAATCGGCGACGAGGCGGAAAAGGGCTGTTAACGCGGAGAGAGAGATAGAAAAAGTGGTGGCTCTCGCGTTCCTGCTCGCTCCTCGCCTCGCCTGCCGCTGCTGCTGTTGGCCGCTGGATCGACTTGCAGCCTCCTTTCTCGAAATGAACACGCTGACAGTCTGTTTACTTCCACATCCACAGAGAAGGGGAGGTGTGCATTTCTCTCTTCTTTGCGGAAAGCCGAGAGCCCGTTTCCATTAGGCGGCGGCGAGCAAAAGCGCACGGCGTCCGCGCCAGCCAGGGCGCATCTTTGCCCAAGGAAAAGCTCCGGAGGTCGCCAGAAACTCTTCAGAGGCCGCCGTGCGCTCCTTTTTTTCCTGCGGAGAAAGATCCCAGGCATTCAATTCAAGTCTCTCTCTCTCTCTCTCTCTCTCCACGCCCCTTCTGCTCCCCTCTGTTGGAACTGACCAGCTTCGTCCGCTCCCTCGAGCAACAGCGCTTGTCCAATTCTATCCAGCGGGATGCGTAAAATCCGTCAGACCCAAATCGATTTCTCCAACGCAGGCCGAGGGGAGCCCCCGTGTTGGGGAGGGGAAGGGACGGCAGGGGGGGGGGGCGCGGTCCCGATCCCGTGCAGGTTTACGCGGGAGTAAGCCCCGCGCTCATGTAAGCGTGCTTAGGGATTGCAGAGCCGTGCCAAGGAGTGCGTTACGGTCTTTTCCCGGCAGCTCAACATTACAAGAAAAATTGCTAGTGTGGCATCAGAAACTGAACCCGAGGGAAGTTATTCTCCGCCGCGCGCGGTGGATGGAGTTTTTGCGGGACGCAGTGCGCTTAAAATGGCCCGAGGCTGTGCGCTTTCACTCGGGAGTAAGTCTCGCCGGATCCGACGGGGTTTACTACGAGGTAAGCGTGCACAGGGTGTGTGGAGTTGGGCATCTATTCCTACCTATGCATGCTTACTCGGGGGGGGGGGCGGGCTTCCTCGCAAGTAATTGCATCAATGGAACCGGAGCGTTATAGCCCGGGTCTCATAGTGTGTTTACTCATACGTAAGCGCCACTAAGTTCAGCACGGGCTCGTTTCCAGCTTAACTGCAGTGCATACAAACTGGCAACTTTAAGCGCGTTTACTCGGAAGGAAGCCCCGGCGTTTGCAGCGGGACTTACTCCCAGAAAGTGAATACATGGGATTTTGGCAATGATGCGTTGAAAACTCTCCGTTATCTTTTTTTTTCGGGGGAGGGGGGACTTAGCATTTTTGAGAATGGGCGAGACAGGATTGAGCACCACGTGAGCTCTGCAGGAATCTCCACGGCTGCTATCTTCCTCAGAGTAGACCCATTGACATCAGCGGCCACGGCTCACTGAATAGGCCCCTTCATTTTCAATGGGTCTACTCTAAGTTGTTGGTTTTTTTTAAAAGCAGAGTTGGACGCCACCCTAAGTCCATCTTGAAAAAGCAAAATTATTATTGAGAGTTTAAATAGCTCCAGATCGGCTTGAATGGGGCGCCTTCAGCAGACTTTATGAAAAGGGTCTCTCTCCATCCCAGGCTCTCAGAGGGAAGACTTCCTGTAAAAGAGGGAGAGAAGACGGCTGCTAACACAACCTCCTTCTCTGAGGCTCCCAAGGAAGAGATGTGTGTGCGTAACCAGGAGCCAGCTATAAAAGCCCCCAGCCGGTGGAGATGGCCCCCATTGGCGGCCTGCGCCCACCACGTGACCCGCAGGCAGGCAACCGCAAGGCTGGAATGGCCACACCCCTCACCCACCCCCTCCCCTCCTCCTCCTCCTCCTCTAGGTGGGAGGGGAAGCGGTTGCTGCTGCTGGAAGTTGCAGCTTTTGCCCGTGACTCAAATCCTTGGATTGGCGTGAGGAGAAATATATTAAATTCCTGCATTGCAGGCGGTTGGACTGGACCAGGGCCGGATTTACGTATAAGCTAAATAAGGTACACTGGTGTACCTCGGGTTACATACGCTTCAGGTTACAGACGCTTCAGGTTACAGACTCCGCTAACCCAGAAATATTACCTCGGGTTAAGAACTTTGCTTCAGGATGAGAACAGAAATCGTGCTCCGGCGGCGCAGCGGCAGCAGGAGACTATATTTAAGAGAACACTGTAAACAACTAAAAACTTTGGCAGGATTTGAGTAATGCTTGTACAGTGGTGCCCCGCAAGATGAATGCCTCGCAAGACGAAAAACTCGCTAGACGAAAGGGTTTTCCATTTTTTGAGTCGTTCCGCAAGACGAATTTCCCTATGGGCTTGCTTCGCAAGATGAAACGTCTTGCGAGTTCTTGCGAGTTCGTTTCCTTTTTCTTAAAGCCGCTAAGCCGTTAATAGCCGCTAAGCCGCTAATAGCTGCTAAGCCGCTAATAGCCGTGCTTCGCAAGACGAAAAAACCGCAAGACGAAGAGACTCGCGGAACGGATTAATTTCGTCTTGCGAGGCACCACTGTAATGCATTGCGCGGCAGCAGCAAGAGGCCCCATTAGCTAAAGTGGTGCTTCAGGTTAAGAACAGTTTCAGGTTAAGTATGGACCTCTGGAATGAATTAAGTACTTAACCCGAGGTACCACTGTACATTATGAATTTTCCCCATTCCTTCTTAAAATTCTTCTCTTCCTGGTTTCTGGTTTTCCCAGTCAGTTTTGCCATTTCAGCATAATCCATCATCTTCATCATCCATTCCACTCTGGCTGGAATTTTGTCTTCTTTCCATTTATGGGCCAGTAGTATCCTCGCTGATGTTGTCACATACATGAAAAGTCGTTACTGCACCCTTGGAATCTCTGTAACCAAAAAGCTTCTGGTTTTTCCACAAATGTTATTTTGTAAATCATTTCCCAGAATGATTTACATCATTCTGGCGCTTGGGGGGGAACTGTCATCCCGCCACTCCTTGGTGTGTGGAGTGCCTCAGGGTGCGATTCTCTCCCCGATGCTTTTTAACATCTTTATGCGCCCCCTCGCCCAGCTTGTCCGGAGTTTTGGGCTGGGCTGCCATCAGTATGCTGATGACACCCAACTCTATCTGTTGATGGATGGCCATCCTGACTCGGCCCCAGACACACTGATCAGATGCTTGGAGGCTGTGGCTGGATGGTTACGTGGGAGCCGGTTGAAGTTAAATCCTTCGAAGACAGAGGTCCTCTGGCTGGGACGGGACGATATGGGATTGAGGGGGCAACTCCCATCTCTTGCGGGGGTGCAATTAGTGCCAGCACCGTCCGTTAAGAGTTTGGGTGTAATCTTCGATACCTCCCTCTCCATGGAGGCGCAGATTGCAGCTATAACAAAGGCGGCATTTTTTCATCTCCGCCAAGCTAAGCAGTTGGCTCCTTACCTCTCTCGCCCTGACCTAGCCACTGTGATCCACGCGACGGTCACCTCCAGACTGGATTATTGTAACTCGCTCTACGTGGGGCTGCCCTTGAGACTGACCCAGAAACTCCAGCGGGTGCAGAATGCCGCAGCGAGACTCCTTACGGGGTCTTCACTGCGGGATCACATTCATCCGGTGCTATACCAGCTGCACTGGCTCCCGGTGGAGTACAGGATCAGGTTTAAGGTGCTGGTTTTAACCTTCAAAGCCCTACACGGCCTAGGACCCTCGTATCTACGGGACCGCCTCTCCTGGTATGCCCCACAGAGGAACTTACGGTCCTCAAATAAAAACATCTTGAAGGTCCCAGGCCACAGAGAGGTTAGGCTGGCCTCAACTAGAGCCAGGGCTTTTTCGGCTGCGGCTCCAACCTGGTGGAACGCTCTGTCACAAGAGACAAGGGCCCTGCAGGACTTGACATCTTTCCGCAGGGCCTGCAAGACAGAGCTGTTCCACCAGGCCTTTGGTTAGGGCACAGCCTGACTCCCTCCTTTGGCAATCTTTACAATACATTAGCTTATGGTTGCCATCAATTTTGATTTTAATTAATTCTTATGATGTTTTATAATGTTGCACTATTTTAGTGTTGTTAGCCGCCCTGAGCCCGGCTTCGGCTGGGGAGGGCGGGATATAAATAAAATTTATTATTATTATTATTATTAGAATGCTTTAGTTATCTTGCACGTCCACCACATATGGTAAAAAGGTAAAGGGACCCCTGACCATTAGGTCCAATCGTGACCGACTCTGGGGTTGCAGCGCTCATCTCGTTTTATTGGCCGAGGGAGCCGGCGTACAGCTTCCAGGTCATGTGGCCAGCATGACTAAGCCGCTTCTGGCGAACCAGAGCAGCGCACGGAAACGCTGTTTAACTTCCTGCCAGAGCGGTACCTATTTATCTACTTGCACTTTGACGTGCTTTTGAACTGCTAGGTTGGCAGGAGCAGGGACCGAGCAATGGGAGCTCACCCCGTCGTGGGGATTCGAACCGCCAACCTTCTGATCGGCAAATCCTAGGCTCTGTGGTTTAACTCACAGCGCCA